CCTCCTCCTAGGCTTGGAGAGGTGAGATTCTTCACCTGCTGCTAAAACAACGTTCATATATGGGTAGATGTAATGAAGAGGCCAGAAGCCATCTGCCCATAGTAGCATGGCTTCCAGCCTGGTTTCATCTATCGTACTTCTCGGTTACAAGCTACTGAGTCATGGAAATGTTTCCTGTAGTTCGTGTGTTGTAGCGTTGCCTTTGGAAATGGAGAGGAAAGAGCCCCCCACATGATGGCTCTTGCTGGAGGACTTCTCTGGTGCAGAGGAGCTGAACCACATGGGCTTTTAGCTTGTGTGTTCGTGTTTGCACAGCACTGCTTCTCCCGTGACAAAAATAGCCTTGGGAGAAGGTGTAATCTTCTTAAAGCCACCCTCCCCACGTTACTCTACATTGTTTCATGGGTGTCAATGAATACTGAGTTTGTTGGCTGTCTTATCAAGGTTCCCCATGTCCACTCCAGCTGGTTGGCATCATTGCAGGACCTGGAGGCACGCTATGGGGGACTGTGTGGTAACAGCGGAGGTTGAGGTGACATTGGGTTAAGATGGGTCTACCCTGTCCCACCAAGGTCACTGCCCTGGAAATAAATTTAGGCAGACCTCTGGGGCAAACTGTTCTCTTCCACAAGAAATGTTGCTTGTTATAAAAGTCTGGAGAATTGAAATTTGGAGCTTCCCTAGGTTAAGATAACTACTGTAGAACAGGTTTTATGTAAAAATATATGTACAGGTCAAATCAAAATGATCCTTTTGAAATAATTCAAAATGTACTACAATAGAGTGACTTTGCAAACTCTTTCTTCATTATTACTGCCTTAATCTTCATTATAATGAAAGACATTCAAACGCTGAATGATTTTTCTCTGGCCCAGGTGCTAGAATTTGAAGATGAGTTCCAATTTCCTTAGCTTTGAGTAGGGCATTTGAGGTAACCTGTTGCATTTTGTAGCTAGTTTTTGACTCTCTGATTTCCGTTTCCTTACTTCAAAAAAGTAGTGTGAAGCATACTGCAAATCATGGCATCACACTCCATAATTGTGAAATTCAGACCTTTCTCATCAATAGTGAGACCCAAAGTGCAACAGGGGATCCTGAAATAGCAAAGCATTTCACAACAAGAGTTTCAGAATTTGCTGTTTGGTGTGAGTGAAACAGAGATAAGTTTTGGTTACAAGAAAGATTTTTCTTAATTGCATTCACTGTAAATGATACTATTTATTATATGTCAATTCCTAATTCATTCTTCTTCGCTGGGAGAGAAACCTAGTACCTCTCCAGTACGTAAAATTTCTGAAAACTTTTAAATTAGCATAAACAATAATTTTCCATTTTCTGTTCTTAAGAGTGAATACAGGGAATATATATACTTTCTCTTTATTCATATGCTATATTTGCTGTAGGACACATACGAAGAACAGAGCCACTTGTTCTATATGGCTCAGATACTGGGAGTCCCCCCATGTCCCTTGTCTGCCCTCGCATCCCTTCCTTTCTTCCAGCTAGAAAGAAGCAGAAGAGAGAGAGTGATTTCCAGCCGCAAGTTCACAGATAAAGTCAATGGCTGGCACTGTAGCTGAATGTTAACGCCTCATGTAGCCCGAGATGCGTGATCCTTAGTAATACAACTTTAACCTTTATAATGCACCATAATTTGATTCTCGAACCATCTATATTCTCTCCTCGTTACAGCCTAAGTAACTGTAAGGAGTAGGGAGAATGGACAAATATAATCACCATGCGAGGCACGGGGAAGGACTGAGAGATGAATCACTGAAATATCCATCGGAGTTTTCAGATTTTAGCCTTATTTTCACCATTTGATTCTAACGTCAGGAAATGGAAGAAACATGATGATATTTTATTGTAGTATTGGTGTTAGGTGGTCAAATGGCAGAGCACCCAAAAAGTCTGCAGCTCTTGTCCAAGCTTGGAGTTGCAGATATTTGGTCTTGAGGGATTCTAAAAGAGTATGTAAATTTAAAAGAGAAATAATTCAGTTGTGAGTATGAAAGGTGATAAAATATCTGTAATATATAATATTTTTTTTTTTACTGTAGTCACATTCTTAAAGGAGGAAAGACATTTGAGGGGGAAAGTAAGACTGCAATTTTTTTTTTAGCCTTTGTCACTATCTTTCAGAAGTTGTTTAAAAGAAGTAGCTCACCTTTAAGTGTGGTGACATGCCTGGTTTATGTAATCTAATCTAAACTGTCTATATGTTCTGCTGTCACACATGGACATACGTATGTACGCATAGATTTCAGCTCTAAAACTTACCGATCACAGTACACGGTCAGCGATTCCCTTGTTTCTCCATTACTGTGATATCTGCAATACATGGTACAATTGACAGTCTCCAGTGCTGTGCAAGGGGTATCACAACAGTATTGGAGGTAGAAAGTGATGTGCTGTGCTATGGAGTTTTGTCATCATGAGTTGAGAAGGTTTTCAACAAGTAGTGGAGTCATGACTGAGTACTGCAGATCAAAAAGCCACTGATTATTTCTCTTGTAACTGTGCTGTGTTTTGTATGCAGCATGTGTTTTATAGAACATGTTTTCTGTAATGATGAGGGGACTGTACATGGTGCTTGACACTTGCTTTGTGTACATGTAACATGCTTGGGTGTAGATGCTCCAAATGCCCTTATTACAGCCTCAAATGTTGAATGAATGGACCAGGGTCTAGCATCCTTCCAATGCAAGTGATTATCCTGTAAGAAAGTCTTATCTCCAAGATAAATCTTTTGATCTTTTGGTTTAAAAAAGCTCTTGTTAGTCTAGCATGAATCTTGCCAACACTGGCACGTGTACAGGTTTAATCTAAGAATAATGAAGAGCTGGAAAACATTTTCAGGAGAAGCTGATTTTCTTTTTTAAAGGCAACTCTCTAAGGTAGCTGGACTGCATGAGGCAGGGGTGGTGGTAATCTTATGTTGTGTGAGAAACATAAATTAGTGCGTTGCAAGTAATCGAAGAAGTCAGTTGGGCATGGAGTAGTTATCCCAGGGCTGCAGTTTATCCCATAGCTAACAACTGTGGGCTTTTCAGTCTACTCGTGTGCCTAGATTAATATAGCATTGACAAATCGGGTAGATATGGATAGCATGGATGTGACTGTGAGATTCTTGAAATAAATTACATTTCTTATCATACATTTTCAGATTCCCCAAAATGTGGTAAGTAGAATAGAAAAAAAAGTAGAAGGAATCCTGTTGTTAGCCAAAATGGAAAGGAAGTTGCTTTTTTTTAAACTATAAGCTATAAACTCTTCAAGAATAAAAATGGAGAATAATAAAGAATAATTGTGGATATTTCCAAAACTGTAGCTTACAGACCTTAAAAAGTAACTGTAAATTTTCAGAAATTTGAACACTAAATAAAGGCTCTTCCATGATTGAATAAATAATTTCTGGAGTTTAACTTTGAACATGTTTTATTGAAATGAAAAATAATTGTGGGAAATTCCTTAAAGGGGATAAAATTATGCTGATTTGTGGCAGAATATTTAATTTTCACCACCTGTAGCTCCTCAGTTTTCTTTAACTTTCTAACTTAATTTCTGTTGTTCCAAGCACAGACAAGCAACCAAAGCCTTCAATCCCTCCTTTTGAAAAGTCTACCTACACTTTTTTAGTGTTACGATACAAATATCTAATCAGAGGAGTAAAAATTGAAGCTTTACAAATTTTTCTTTAATTAGGGGATATTTGATATTTGATCAGACCCCTTGAATGACTGATGGCTTTTACAGAAGCAGAATTTGCTATCCCAGTTGGCCTTCAGAGATGTCTTGGCTTCATCCAGTATAGCCTGACTTTCCAGACCAATTTTCTGACCGGGCCTTCAATCTCTCCTCTAATTTCTTTGCTTTTTGGCTTTTAAAGTTGCGTATCGGTGTGAATATACATATAAGGTGACACCATATAAGACCAATGCAGTGCGATTTATTTTAGGTAGTTCTGCTGAACAGGTCAGGCATACCAAATCAGTTGCACTTCAGTTAGCCAGGCAATAAATCACATAAATAAACAATTAATTGTGTTTGAAGTAGTAAAACCAACAGAAAATCAACTCCATCTCAACAAAATGGCAACTGACCCTTTCTTAACTGATATTGCCCTTAGCAGCCATCTGACCAACAAGGTAGTACAAGAGGTATTGACTCTGATTGGCTTTTCTTCCTTCTTCCACTTTACCCTTACTTTTCCTCAGTTATCTGCCACCCCCAGCCTGCCCACCAGTAGTCAAAATACAGATTTGTCATTTGTCTAGACCACTTGATCATATCAAGATTCCTCATAATTTCTTCTCTTTATCTTGTAAATCAGTTGGGTTTTTTTTAGAGCTGCTTATGTGTTTTCCATTTACTAGTTTCATCCTAAAGAAGAGCTGTTTAATTTTAAAGAAAAACCTTTCTTTAGCAGTCTTGGAAAAATGTAAAAGTTCTGCGGGGGTATTCACCAAATATTAATCTTTTTCCACCCATTTAAAAAGGTCAACTAGAGAGAAATGGGTGCTAAATTCTGTCCTGTGTTTTGAAAACACATTTACCCTTCAGGGTAATACCCTTCAGGTAAATGTGGTATTAAGCGTACAAGAGCTAGATGGTATAAAAAGAGACTTGCATTTGTAAAGTAGGTGAAAGAAACTCGTAATCTATAGATGCTGAACTGATAGGATTAATCAAATTTTATTCCATTCTTGCTGGAGAAAATAATTATTGCAGCATGCAGGTCTCTCTGATGAAGCAAATATTTCATAGTATAAACTGTAAAGTTAAGTCCGTTCAGTTTGTTAGCTTGGAAAAAAACTTATTTTTTAATATCCATTGTTATTTTGGCATATTATTCATCTCTGCAATTCTCTGCTATGTCATTGTAATAAACATTTTTGCCATATTACTGCAGTTTTCTCCATTAAAAGAAAAGCTGGTTATCTGTAGTGAGTAAAAGTATGAATATTTACTTGATTTTACTTTTTTTTTTCTTTTTACAGAAGCTGCAAAGAATCAATCCTCCTTACTGTTGTTCAACCTTACCCTGTAAGTATCATTGGTGTTTTCTGAATTAGTTTCCTAGCAACATAGCAGCTTTTTTTTTCTGCCTATACTCTGTCTGTGTCTCTGCCTTATCTGTGCAATAAAAAGAAAGAAGTGAGATAAGGGCTGTGTCTCTTAAAGGTGATGTTTAAGACTGCATTACTGCATCCTGCACTCAAAGACTGCATTAATAAGTTAAATAATAACAGTATCTTTAAACTTGTACTGGGAAGGTAGGTAGAGGAGGATGCTGAATTCTGCTTCAGTTTCTGATCTGTTGCTGCTCCTGGGTTTTTCTTGATTCTGCCTCGGTCCCACAGAGTTACGCTGCCGTATCAAACCAGCTGCACCTTATGGAAGGGAGGGCTCTGTCTGCATCTCCAGCGCAGGGTGTGCGGAGGAGAAGGGAGAGAAAAGACAGACAGGTGATTGCGTGAGGCTGGCTTGAAGGGATGGGGAGAAACTGCAGCCTACCTCGGAGCTGGCTGATGTGACGTGCCTTTGCACCTCACTCAGCGGTTTGTGGGAATGGGTTCGTGACCTGTCAGCGCAAACCCATCTCCCATGAAAGAGGAGAGACGTCAAGTCAGGGGAGGAAGCACATCTCTGTCTTCCCAGACATCCGTGCACAGCCATCCGTACCTTGCAGGCTGCTGAGGGGTCTCAGCCATGCATCAGAAGAGATTTCAGATTCAACAGGTCCATTCAGCTCCCTGTTGGCTAGCCTGATACACAACAGTTTTGATTAAGAAAGGATAATTACATCCTTCTCACCTAAGAATAAGAGATAAGATGGATTTGACACAAAGATGTGAAAACAAGTTTATCTGATGAAGCTGCCAAAATATACACCTTGGAAATGCAACTTGGCCAGTGCTGTGTGGCTTCATACTACTTGTTAACCTTTCTGGCTAGTTTAGAGGTGGCCATGTAGTCGTGCTGGTCCTGTAGCCTTTCTAGAAGCCAGTCTGCACAGCAACGAAATCCTGGGGGAAAAGCACGCGTTCCTCAGCAAAACCAGGCAGGGGCAGCTGCAGTGCAGTAGGACCGCTGGCAGGAGGGTGAGCTGGGATCTGGTCAACATCAGCCACCTTACATGAAAATGCAGGCATGGTATGACTAAGTAAAGAAACCTAACCGCCTTTAAAGCTTGCTGGGTTACAGCCAGTGGTTTTGATCACAGGGAATATATGTAATGTGGAGGCAAAGAAATCCTCACGGACTTGCCTTTTTTATGAAGGTTGCCTTATTTCATCCATTGACAGGCTTCATTCTTTTCTTTAAATGTCAGGTGAAGAAAGGGCATGTGCTTTAGTGCAGGTACGCGTAGCCCTTAAAAGCGGACAGTAAAGCGTGGTACTAGGTGTCTGTGGAGTGTTGTGGCCTGTTAGCACTGTGCTGCTGGTATGAGAGCAAGCCTGTAGGTACCGAAGGTAAGGGAAGCTGAAACCCAAATAAACTCTGCACTCTATGTTCAATGGGAGACCTTGCAGCACAGGTAGGGTCCTCCTCCAGCCTTTGACCTGGAGAAGAAGGAAAGTCATGACCTGGTATCTTCCCAGCTCTTTGGGTCCAAGACCTGTTTGAGGCCACACAAGGCAGAATCTGCTCCTCTCATTACAGAGCACCAAAAGCTAATCAATAACTGAACTACCTTTAGATATCACTGAGCTCGGAATGGTTCTTAAACACTTTGCTGTCCTGTCAGCCATTTGGGCTGATGTGCCCATCTTAGACGTGCATTTGTGTGTTGCCCCACTCTGGCATGCCTGCCAGATTGCCCCAGCTCTACCTGAGCAGACAAAGCACACATGTTTTTGGGGGTGATGGATGTTTTATTTCACGTAGGCATGAAGGTTGTCTCCCCAAGAATGTCCACAGAGCAGTCAGAATATGCGATTGATGTATGCGTATTGGTGCTAGCTTTAATTGACCCATTTTTATCCCAAAGTCAGGATGCTTCAGTGGCATGAGCTTAGTTGGAAGAGCCTCTACTGGAGGACTGTTGCACCCTGCAGATCTCCTCTGGTTTGTACACTCTTACTGTACCTCCCTACCTGTCCAGACCAGGGTCTTGTTGATTCATAGCATCCTTCCAGTATCACTTTCAAGCCCAAGTTTTCCTGCAGTGGAAATGAAGGTGTGTGTAGGGATGGGGAGCAGTTGGGATGCTGCCAGGGTGTGCAGCCAAGCTTGAGCCCTGAAGCAGTACAAGGTCCCTCCGTTTTTGCAAACCCTGGGCTGTGAAGTCTGCTGGGGACTCCTGAATGGCCTTGAACATCTGGCCTGTGCTGGCCCTCACACTGCAGCAATGTTACTGTCAGTAGTGCCTGAGCCTGGTAGGTGCCATCCCTCTCAGCTCTGCCGTCCAGGATGTTGCTGCACTCCGACTGTGTACCTGTCCTGGTCTTCTGTGCGGGGGATCCTCTGCAAATACATTTTGTCTTACAGTTTGGAAACAATATTTGTGTCTTCAAAAATTACGATGCACATGTGTTTTCCTCTTTTCTTTAATTTTGCCTCCTCTATTTTTCCTTTTACTATTTTGCCAATAAAACTGGAAAGATGAAGTAGAAACCAGACAAAGGAAAAGTAAGAGCTTTTAAATAAGGACTGAACTTCTTCCCCATTCTTGGCAGAAATACATCTTTACAAACATTTCATCAATCTCTCTTCTTGACGGTGAACCTTTTTCTTTCTATCGTTGCATGAAAAAAATCTGCCAAGATGGATTACAAGAGTGCTGTTTCTTAATTGTTTTTATTTGCGCTATTTACAGTGTGTTTTGTTTTCATGTTTTCAAGTAACCGTCCTTTATGACTCCAGGTGAAAGTAGATGTAATCTAGATTTATAGTACTCTGTAGTTCACCTAGTACTTTTTGAAAGCTTTTGCGGATCATTTCTGCTTAAGTGCATTCAGTTTTGTTTAATGCTTAAACTCATTAAAATTTCATTATAATTATGAACAAACCAAAGCATTAGGCGATCTTTTTCTTTCCATCAATCTACAAATCTCTGCTAGGTTCATATCACCACTGCTTATAAGGAGGTCACTGAACAGCTAAAGCAGTTGAAGCGGTTCAAAGTTTTGATTTCTGGAAGTATGGCATTTGATTATAATTTCTGACCATTTTATTCTGTAAATGGACCATCATTCTGATTGTTGCCTTATTAAGTTTTAAGCATTACTCAAATCAAATAACTTGCCTGTTTTGATATCTGTTCAGTTTTTATGTGTAGAGATCATTTGATAAGTTGCTTTCATGATTAATCTCTTAAGCTCCTTGGATATAGTCCAGGCCCAACTGAGATCCATGGCAATTTTGCTGTGCGTAAGTTCTGCAACGGGAAAAGGATAAGATCTTTTTCTGTTTTCAAAGAGATGATTCTTGTTTTAACAGTCATATGTCTGAGACACGTTTGCAGAAAAACTACAATAAATAACACTTATTTATGGATCATAATGATTGTGGCAACAATCTTATTGAGCCTCTCACAGTATTTTTCATGCTGCTTTGCCTTCTGGAGTCATCTAACAGCAGCAACTACCATATCTAGGGTTGTGGTTGAAAAGAAGGATATAAAAAAGAAACAGATTTGTCACAAAGACTTCAAAATCTAAAGTGAAAAGACTACCATGGTGTAGTTTTAGAAATCATTTGGAAGTCAGTCATGTGAGCGTTTTGAACAAGATGATTTTTGACTGCTTGAAGTTGTGAAATTGGTGTAGGAACGAAGGGGTTTTTTCTTTGAACATGTACATTTTATACAGTCATCCTGAGGACCTTTTCCACTGCATAACTTCCACATGAGCTTTTTGGTATGGTCAGTTCCATACATAGCTTTAATCCTACACAGGAGAGGATCACAGTGTGGTTAATGACAAACTGGCCATCACTGCGTTGCCTCCTGGAAGTGCTGGCTGGTCCATGGCCACTGTCCAACCACTCTTCGTTGTTTGAAGCAGCCTCCTCTCGTGTCAGCCCTGTGCTCTGCAGCCTTTCTTCTTCCATCTGTGTGTGGTGCAAATCCCAGTGAGCACTGCTGCTCCTGACCTTTCTTGCTGGAGGCCTCCGCTTAAGGCTATATGGATTTTTCTGGAGTGTAGTTACATGGTCTTTTCAGCAGTGAAGACTGAGAAAATTCAGCGTGAACTTCCATTTGAATTGTTTCAGCAAAGTGGAAAAGAGCTCCTCCACCCTTCACCCTGTCCATCATTTTCTCCTTGTAGTTCTTCCTCCCCACCCCAGTTGCCATTAGGTCTCTTTTGCTTCTTCATTAGCCCTTTCTCCCATCTCAGGTGCATTATCATTCATATAGTCCTTCATTTGTTCATTTTAGCCTGGGTTTGTATGGGTTGAAGGTTTCTTTCCTTCCCAGAGGTCCTCATCCTTGCAGAGTTGTAGGGCTGGAAGTAGTACAGCATGGCTGACTTTTTCTGTACTTTTCTGCGTTTGATTAAGAGCAGTCACCTGTGTATGAGAGGTAATCATGAATGTAAAGGAGTAATCCACGAATGTAAAGATCTGGACCTTGGAGAGGCAGAATCCAAAAGGGGATTTTATAGAGGACATCCACATTTAATAAACGCAGAGCTAGATGGCCCAGGCTCATCTAGTCATGAGATGAGCTGCAATGTCTGCACGTTCCACAAAGTCTGAAGCTGACCTGTGGTTTCACTGATGGGTTTGGGGACAATCACAGTAAACTAGGCTGTCGTTTACTGTAGATGGAACGGATTGGATTTTCTCAATGCCTACATTAAAGTAAGGTTTGGCTGTTCCCCACCTTACAGGTACATGTTATATATGTATGAGATGAATGATAAGATTGTGATTACCATCTGCAAATAGTAAAATATAAATAATGCAAATAGTAAAATATAATTGTCTATGATAGATCACCAACTTTTAAGAGAGAACCCAAATCTGACCACTGCTTCAGCAATTAAATTTGTGCCAAGAGTTTAATAAAGAAATACTCCTGATGATGATCTGTCAGTGCCCTGTGGTTACCACAAATTACTGCATGGTAAAACTTCTCCATGTTATTTCTTCTGTGTCCCTACCTGCTCTTCTGCAATACTCTTGTGAGCCTGTGTAGTTGTTTCAGCCTCGCTTACATCTATGAATGGCAGTATTTAGTTTGCCTTTGGGCATTATGTACTGTTCCACTTAATAAATTTAATTCTTCCTCTTATTCACGTTTTATTTGCTTGCTAAATTTTGTCTCATATAATTGCCTTTAGGGATGGACCAAAAAGTCAACACATTTTTGTGGTCATGCAGTTTTTCCTTATTTCCTAACAAACATAGTATTTCATATTAAACTAATGAGTAACAAGTAACAAGCTTAAAATTGATCACATGTATACAATCTGTGGCTCTTAAAACTATGGTATTTCTGTCTGATTTTGACACTTATTGTGACAGAGCAGGTTTTCTTTTCACCTTGTGACTGTCCCATATTGCTGTCTTGTTTCATTTCTGTATGGTAGCTCGGTACTACACTACACTCTTCTAAATGCTAAATCCTTCTTTTTCTTGAGCATAAGTAGAGGTTTTGTTGTTGCAGCACCTCTACCACCAAGAGCACTCAAAGGTTGCTTTTGCAGCAAATAAACACTGTTTCCCTTGGAATCACCCCTGAATTATAGTTTACCTGCAAAAGTGGACAAAGTGCTAGACATTCTTATTTTGATCAAAAACCAGTTTCCCTCAAAATGTAGGATATTGTTTCTAAGATCTATCCAAAATGACCTGCTATAATGCTGCTGACAAAAATAGGATCTAATTTTGAAAAGTCCAGAAAATGAGAAAAATAACATTTTCCAGAAAGCCTCTTTTGTTATAGCACTCTCTCATGTTTTGACCCTGCTGATGGGATGCCCATTGATTGCATTCCCTAGTAAGTAGGGTTCAAAGGAGGGTCTCAGTCTTCACTATCGTTTCCTCCAAACAAATCTTTATGCAATGCTTCATTTCTCTTGTTAGCAGTTCCTCCAGGTAGTGTTGAAATGACCAGCTGAATTTTTACTGAATTCTGTGTAAACAAGTAAAAATTATTTAAAATCCTGATAAATTTTAGCTTTTAACAGGAAACAGTGCTTAGGTCACACAGCGTGAAGTTTGTGGGTTTTTGAAGTATTTTGACTCCTTGTTAAATATGTCCCCTCATCTTGCAAAATTCACACTAATTAAGCTGTTTTTGTCTGTGACAATGCAAATACTTTACTTGCAGTGATAAATGTTCTGCATTAGTGTAAACACCTCCTACTTAAGGTCATTAACTGAGGATAATGGCTTCCATTTGACTAAAAGATGGAATATGAGAAACAAATGAACCTGGCACTCTGAGAATCATTACTTGATAACATTCTTTGCCTACAAACCTGAAGACATTAGAAAGGAATAGAGCAGCACATCATCTTGCTGATGCTTTGTTAGACAAACAAGTTTCGACAATCAAAGCCAACTGTTTTCCTAGGTATTTGCCACACTCTTTTGAAACAATTCCTTTCTCAAAAAGAAAATGTCAAGTGCCAAGTTGACGCAGAGGTAGAAACAATGAGGTTGTGCAATTAAATGCAAAAGCTGTGCTATTACTCAAACCTTTAAACAGCAGAGAACGTTCCCCCAAATACCTGGCACAGCTGTTCTAGTTTTTCTTAAATCCCTGGTTTATAGTTTGAAGCTTTTTAGAAAGCAATCTGCTTCCAGGTTCACCCGGAGAGTCTGACAAAGAGCCAGAAACCTGACCACGTTGCCACAGGAGAATTGGGAAAAGAGGGAAGCCCCACGTTTTATGGCAGACCATGGTGTGCTCCCCTGGCTGTGCAATATATACATTAAACCCCACGTCCCGGAGGGGTTCTTGGGAACTCGCATGCGTTCAGATCTTTCAGTTGTGTTGGACTCACCTGTCACATTTTTGCAAGAACATAATTTAAGTGCTTATGCTCCCCACAAGTGACTTTTGAGGTTGTAGAGAGGAAAAGAGAGGTTGTAGGGAGGAAAAGAGAGGTTATAGAGAGCAACAGAGCCACATAGTGGTTTGCCAGATTTGCTGTATGGGAATAACCTTGCCAGAATCTGGAAGAAAATTTGGCAGTCTGCCTGTAAAGAGAAGCCAGACTGGTGACTCATCTGCAAACAACTGTAAAAAGCCTCTCCCAGTGAGAAGAGTCAGTGAAAGCCACTCTTTTCCCCTTGCCCTCGCAAGGGAGAGCCAGTAGCCTACTCCTATAGAAGTGCTGCTCGTGGCAGTGGGAATCAACAGGTTGCAGTCCATTACTTGGATGCCATAGAAACTGTCCCCCTTAGAAAGGGACTCCGTGGAGAGGAGGGAAATTAGAAAAGGCATGTGTAAAATTATGATATTAATCATGGTATTATTGTATACTGTGTCTTTCTAGGAATTCGTCTCTAGAGTGCAATATGTAGGCGTGCTTCTTCAGTGTTTCCATGTTGTCCATTCTTGCTGAAGAAGTGTTTTGGGTCCCCTGCCCTGAGCCATAAACTTTTTTTTTTAACTTTTTTTCTTTCTTTCTTTTCGGTGGTTGTTTCAAATCTTCTGGGGGACCTTCTGCATTTTTCAGCACTGGCTTTGGAAGCTGAGCTTGCTTTGATCATGGGGTTGAATTTTCTGTCATTTACTGTTACTGATTAAAAAGATGTATGGTCATAGCTGCTAGAGAGAGAAAAGGTAAGAAAGAATGAACTGTAAAAGTGAAAAGCATTCATTTTTATTTCTTGGTTCTATTTTGTGCACCAGGAATTATCGGATGGCTCTGATATTTCCTGGGAGAATGTGACATCTTTCATTCCTTATTCACTGGTTGATACTGAGCCTATGGTAATAGTTACCACGTTTTCGATGTGATAAAAAGTCAGTGGCATACAGAAATGAGCTAGAGACTTCCTGCTAGTTACTAGAAACAAGGCTTCTGCATCACAAGAAAATAACTTCTTAAGCAGTTTCAGCAGAGATCAGAGACGACAAAAGCACATGGGCTTGGACTACTCCATCACTCCTACAGATTTTTAGTTGAGTCAAAATTTGAGTGATGGTGACAGGAGTTCCTGTGTTTACAAGGACTGCTGTCATGCTGCATTGATAATGGGAAATTATTCCAGGATCATCATCACCGTTAACTGCACTTACTTCTCACAGGCAAACCAATATGAGTTAGTCTTTTCAGTACCCAAAACTAGTAAGGTCCCTTCTCAGGAGTTAGAATAAGATTCTGAAAATCTTAATTCACTTTTTACTGAAACAGATGGACCAAAACCTGGCCCGAAGGAGCCTGGTGATTTTCAGCCAAGCCAGAGTTTCCTCCGTTGCCCATTGTCATGGTTATGGAGTTAGGCAATGACAGAAACCCTGTGTTTGTAACTGACCCGAGAATGAAACTACCTTCCTTCTGCTGCTGAAAATGGAAATCCCAGTGACTGTGAATATTTAGTTTGTTACAAAAAATGGGTTGTTAGTCAAACTTCTCAAATGGAGAGACACTTTTTTTTCCAAGGGCTGAACACTTGATCACAGGTGAATCCATTGAATAATGTAGTAGGTAAAAGTCAGTTAGGTTCCAGAAGAAAATTAGGAATGTTTCTAGACTTCTAATCCATGAAGTCCCACAAAGTGTCTGATCTATTGAAGGCAAGTCTTGCCCAGGGTGTGTGTCAGGGATGCGTTCAGGGGAAGCCCACTGGCTGCCTTTTGGTGGTTCTGACCTGTGTTTGTGAGATGCCATTGCACTTGGAGAGCTCTCAGATGCTTTTTTATCAAAAGTTGTGTGTATATCTGTATCTAGTGAATCACAGATTATGCAAAAATTTTCAAATTCAGTGTTTGAAGGAAGGTCGCTGGTCAGTGTCCATTCATGCAAACGAGTTTGGTTGACAGCAGTCATTGTGGAAGCTCTACGAGGAATTTGTATGTACACTGAGAGCCCTTCCCATCACCCCAGTCTGAGAGTGGGATAACTTTCAGTATGTGTGGTATGCACCAGTGATTCCTTATATATATGTACATATGTATTATCTCAGGAAGCATTATGGTTTGACTCTATTTCCATTCTTCAGTGATATGCAAAGTGTTGCTGTATACATGGAGTTCCCGGTGTGTGACAAACGGGAAATAACTGAAAAAGGAAAGATAGGTTTTAACTGGAAATTATGTGATATATCTTGTCATCATTTTTCCTTCCAGTCTCCTAAATCAGCTTTTATTAGTGCTGCAAAAAAGGCAAGATTGAAGTCCAATCCTGTCAAAGTGCGCTTCTCAGAAGAAGTAATTATCAATGGCCAGGTGTCGGTGAGTATTCAACTATTTAACCTCAGGAAGGACTGGGCATTTCATCCAAAGGTACGCCTCAAGGCTGGAAAGTCAGGGAATTATATGGTAGGAACAATGGTGATAGGCTTGCAAAGGGAAGGGTTTTTCTGTTCCTGAACTTTTTGAAAGATGTTTTTAAAGTCCATTGGGCCCATGATATTGTGAAAAATTTGTCCCTTCTCAAAGTAAAATCAAAATGCTAGTGAATGCATTTTATGGTGATAAGACATGCATGCCTGTCTTTGTAGTCTTGATAATGCTTGCTTGGGTTTTTTTCAGAGCAATTTTGTAGCAGGAAAACTCATAAATTCAAGAGAAGTAGCATGTAGGAAAACAGATTAACATTACCTTACAGACCTCTTTAAAATTTGTTTTATCTACTTGAACTTGTTGTTTCCAGCCCTCGGGCAAAGTCTGCCTCCCTTTGAGAGGCACTGAGCTCCTCCTTAAACATGAACCCTGCCTCGTTTTCATAATTTGCCAGAACGTCGTTCCACACTGATGTCTTTATCCAACTCTCTTCCAAACATAAATTGATGCTGCATTTTTTCAAAAGCAATTTCTGCTGTTTAAAAAACAACAAAGCTTTGTTTCCGTTCCTTTTTCCTGTTTATCTCACTATCCTTGTTATGAAGGGTCACAATTAAGTAGCAATATTATATGTTACTCTTCTTAAATTATGACAGATATTAGCATTTAATATCCAGCTATAAAGAGAATGTAAAACATCTTGACTGTAATTCTTACTAATGAATCTGCAGTTCCCGTTTTGTAGATTGAAGACACTAAATAGCTCACTATAATCAGAGAAATAATAATTTATTTTTCTATTTTATTGAAAATGTTTCAACTTTAGAGGTAGCATTTATGGTCAGAGAGATAGTATTTAAGGAAAAAAAAACTTCCAAGCCAGATGTAAAATATATGTGAACAGTTATATTTTTCCAGGAAAGACAGTATCTATAGAGTGCAGCTGTAATGAGCATGGCTAGACACTTGCAGGGCATTGCTAATTCTGCTTTCAATTTCAGCCAACAGACTCCTTTTCAGTCGTTACCTTTCCATCCGAATGATGTCCTTCTTTATAGAACAGCATTTAGATTTCCCTTGTTACATGTTGTAATCTGATTCACTAATTTGCTTGGCAGGAAACAGTTAAGGACAATTCACTTCTTTTCATGCCAAATGTTCTGAAGGTGTATCTTGAAAATGGACAAACCAAATCTTTCCGTTTTGACTGCAGCACTTCAATAAAGGTAGGCTAGGTATACCTTGGTATGCAGCGCCAAGAATGCCAGTTAACTCTTTTTAAGACCTTCAGTAATTATAATTTACTTGGAATGCTTTAAGAACAAAATGCTAGTGTGTTCAGTTGGGGCTGGTCTCAGTTCAAAAATAATGATATCTTGGTCCATTTTTTTGCTGCTAAAAACATACTGTACTGTCAATGAAGAAGAAGTAGAAGTGATCATTTTAATGTGCCTGCAGTACAATTAAAATTGCGTGGTCTTATTGTTTTGATATGCTGCCAAATACTAGTGTGATTTGTCAGCAAAAGTCAGGAGCTAAGAAGATTAAGATGCTGGTTGCTAATTGAATATCATCTGGCTTGTCATCCAGTGAACTTGGGATGGGATATTGTAGGCTTATGCTGGTGATAAATTGCTTGTCTCAGTGTAATGCCCTCTATGCTTTCCATAACACATTTCACATAACAGAAATAAAGAGTTGAAGCCCCAGCACACAACTGAGGCTGCTAGGAAGTGTCTGTGACACTGTTTCACGTAGTTTCCTAAACCAGAGGCATCGTCAGTGCCCGTGAGTGCCTTGGAGTAGCGTAGTAAGCAGCACGACTACCGCTATTGGGCATGCTGTTAGTGTCTCAAGCATTTTTGCTTGGGTGAGCTAGTTTTAACACAGATTGGTTACCAAGTCTAGTTCACTGCATGGTAGTGTGTATGCTTGGGAGAATGAAACCAGAGAGATGCATGGATGGGTATGACCAGGGAAGGCTGGGTATGCAATTTTCAGCTTCACTGCCAGCTTTTGCTGGTTTAAAGAGATTGTTAAGCTATGCATATTTGAAGAAAGGCTTCTTTTGTGCTTACTGTGATTCAGCAGTATGCTCAATAAGTTAGAACAGCAAGGAGAGTGATTTACTAAGGTAAACAAGAGAAAATTCACTCTAGTCTAAAGGCAAAACAGATACTGAAGTTACACTTAAAAATGGGCTGCAATATCTGTTTATAGTTCATATATATACCTTAGGAATAAGTTGAATGCAGGTAATGGATACAAGCCTCCACTCTACACCCGTGGGATACTGAATTCCTTCAGCCCATTGGAGAATTTTGTTGGGTGAAGAAATAGGAGACATGCTTCGTATAGATAGTGAGGTCTCTCCACCCATCTAAGGCCCACGAGCCTACTTTCCAATATTTTCTTTCATGAGCCTAAAAACAACCAACCTGTTTGAGGATATTTTGCCTCTGGAGACCAGTCTTTGGCCATCACATTAATTTTCAGTAGTTCTGTCATAGGTGTATCATGTACAGTAAGACCATATATCTAATCTGAAGTCATTTGCAAAGATACCCACGTGGGCTCAGCAACCTAGCTGTGGTGATGTTGTAAGCCTGCTTTGACCTTAGACATTCTGACTATTTGTGGGAATAATTTCCTTTGCATCTAATTCAGGCAGTTATATATTCTGTAGCCTGCACAGCTATATATTGCATATTCTTGCATGTATGTATGTGTATATGCATCATTGTGGATGGGTGGGTGTGCTGCTTCTTAAACTGAGGTGAAGTAGACGTGCCCCAGTTGAGTCAAGGCAAATGCAGGTTTATTCTGCCTCCAGCAGTCCAGTAACTCACCACTTACCAACGAGGGTGCAACCAGGGCCTTACCTGTAGCCCTCGCTTTCCTTATTGCTGGGGAGTAGCATCTGGGCTGACTCTAAGTTATCAGATGAGAGGATAGGGTAGCAAAAAATTTGGGTCAGTAATTCAGTGCCTATGTGCCTTAGCACCATATTTCAAAAGATCCAAGACAGCTAGCGGAAAACAGTGCCATTATTACCCCCTCTTAAAAACTTACATTTAATATTATGTCTCTTCATGTTACTGTTATGCCCTTTGTCTTTGAGCATAGTTTAGGAGTATAAATAAAAGTAGATTTAATGTGTAAGCAATAAATTCCCCATTAGTCAGAATAGTATAATATTAACCTCCACTATTTAGAGTGGTTGCTTGCAATCCATTAATACTTTAATGTCTTATATTCTTTACATTGTACAGAGTTGTCCCCATCCTTCTACATACATTTTTCATCCTTCCACCAATTTGGTGTTGATTTTCCATAAACACACTGTAATTGATCAATTAATCTTCCTAAATTATGTTAAAACACTCAGATTACAATTCATCGTGGTCTCCTTAATAAGTCCTATCCATCTGGATACTTATGTATATCTAAAAATCTTTTGGATGCATAGAAATGTTTTAATCTTTTCATCAACATAATGTGAAACTATTTTTACATGATGAGTTATTATATATTTCTTTTTCCTACTACGTTCACTAAAGCCAAACATACCTTGCCAGATGATATTAATACTCTGCATATATTTACAAAGTGTTATATGAAAGTAAAGTAGGGATTGGTTGAATGGTTTTGTGAGGAAGTTTGTTTCGCTGTTATTTTAGAAACGATCTCAAATTAATTACCCTTAAACATAATCCAATGTGAAAAAAACTAATTAAAAGTCTCTAAAAATGGGGTTTATGCTATAAATTAACATGGTCCCTGAATTTCGAGCTACTGTTCTGCACAGGTATCATCATCGCTGACTTTTCTGTCAGCATTTAAAACTCAAGAAATGGACTTCAAAAAAAATCCTTTGCCATAAGAACAAATAAAGGCCATTCATTTAATTTTTTTGTTGAACATATAAATTTGGTTTATACTGCCTGGTGGCCCTGCCCCAACAGTAGGTGAAGAGAACAGCAGCAAGACTGTCTCTCCTTTGCTGATGGAGAAGTTTTATTTCCAGGGAGACAGAGAGATAGGATTTAAGGGCCACACAAGCATAATTTGCATGTTAAACTGCACAGAAAGTTGTCCATTCACAGCAATCCCATGTATATATTTTTCATGTGCATGTCTGATACCATCTCAGGGACGTTCAAATATAAAGGCAATGATTTTTCACTGGGTGAACATCTGTGATGTCCTGTGTACCTGTGCAGAACAGGCATGAAACACGACCATTCTCCCATTTAACATCTGGGCTTCCACCCTGTCCTGGGTACATGCAGGGTGCGTGGCAGTGAAGATCTGGATCCCAAGCACTTCATGGATTTAAGCACATTTTATAAATCCTCTGTTAACTAGGATGTCATCTTAACACTCCAAGAAAAGCTTTCCATCAAGTGTATTGAACACTTTTCTCTGATGCTGGAGCAGAGGGTTGAAGGATCTGGAACGAAACTCCTTTTGCTACATGAACAGGAGACTCTAACTCAGGTTTGTGTAATGATACGGGAAAACAGATACTAATGAGACAGGTTAATCAGTAAATTATCTGTCTTTTTCCTTACTCAAGTGAGTTAACCGCAAGATTTATAGTTTGATACAGTCTATCAAATAGCAGTGGTATTTAGATGTGGTTTTAAGAATCAGGTTCTCACAGAAAACCGTTATTTTTCTATTATATAGGCATTGTATTTCATGGCTTCATTGGGCCATCACAAAGTATTAAAAAGTTTATTAAAGATCAAACTGAAAGCTAGAAAATACTTATCAAGCCTTTTCCTATCATACGTGGCCCAGCTAGTAAACATTCTCGACAGCTGGAAAACCCACGGTAACAATTCTGAGAACCACAGTCTGCCTAAATTCCTACAAAAACCTTAATTTAATCTTTGGTTCCTGTCTGATTATACAGATCTGTAGCTGGGTGACAGGGAGTAATACTCTTTCTGATGAAGCCAAGTCTGGCTTGTTTATACAGCGATACATTATGTCACTTCAGTGATGATGAACTGTGACCCTAAAAACGCTGATGTGACTTCCTACCTTAGATCGGGGAGGTGTGACTACAGGTAAAGTTACTTCACAGTTCCCAGCGGAGGACCCTGATTTTAGCTGCTTATCATTTTGCCAAACTGTTTAGCCTGACATTTTCCATGATATTTCTGTGTTTTGGGAGAACATTAGTATCTTTTAAATTTCACCTAAATTTGCAAAGAAAAGAGAAATGGATTCTTAGATGAGATGGGGAAAAATATTTAATTTAAATGCCAGAATTCCCTTGATCATGTAACTACAGTCTGTATAATTTTATGAAGGAGCTTAGTTTACCAGCTAACAATCTTTCTAGCATTTTCTAACCTTTAAGCCCTTGACTTTGCCATGCTAACATTCTTTTCTTGTGGGTATAAGCTACCCAGTGATTGCAGGGTATCCAGAAGTACTCAATACTGGCTCTGCTGGCCTAGCTGTCTGTCTTTGAAGTAATTGGTAAAATTCTCATTGAAATCAGAAGGATTAGAATAGACCAACACAGTCAGCTTTTGAAAATCCCATCGGGAGCTTTTATTTATACATACAGAGTATGCCTAGATACTTAGGACTGAGGTCAGAGACAATGTCAGAGAAACATACTTTTTGAAAACTTAAAGGGCAAGAGAGAGAATTCATTGGAGATTTTGAGAAGTATAGTATTATCAATTAAAGACGTTGATTATAAAGTACACTAACTCTCTAACTGTATTAGCCTAATTAAATAAACTACATAAACTGCATTAATTCTGAGGGTGTCTTCTTTGAAGTTCCTGTAAAAATCAGCAATACTTTAATTTGCCATTATAGTGTTGCTGCGGACCATGACTTACAATGGTGTTATTGGATTGTTACCCTTTCATCCAATTATTCATTAGCTATGAGGTGGTCCCCCGTGAATATACCCAGATTACAGTGTTACATGCTTAATAAAGTTTTGCTGACGAACACGCAAAGTGGTCTTTTTCATTTTTTAATATATTGGGAAAGATTTGTCTTGGTCAGAAGTCATGGGGTACATCTCTTAATCCAGAACAACCCAGGAAAAAGACCTAATTTCTTGCAAATTGCCTGACAGATTAAAACAAGGGAGAAAAAGTGAGAATAATAGCTGCCAAGCTGTGCTTCACCTGTGTTCTCAGTCAGTCTAAGAAACAAACTGTGACCTCTCCCCCAAAACCTTCTAGCCCTTCTCGTTTATGACTCTTTTGGTCCTGATGACG